AGAACTAATAATCAAATTGTATTTTCTTACGTTCTTTCTAACTCCTTGCTTATTTTTGACACACCTTCATAATTTCATGTTTCTAAGTCATAGAGCAGCAAAACGAAATGTAACGTTTAAAAAAGAAACAATTTAGAAGAAAAAATTAGCAAAAAAAAAAATGCATTTAAAATTCCAAATAACATAGATTCAGAATTTCAAGAAAAAAAAACTCTGTTAAACATATAATGGTTCTTCTAACATACCAAATCTTTACTCTGTGCTTATGATGTTCTTAAAATGAGTTTGTTTTTTTCCTCGTTCAAAAAATATGTGTAATAATAGAAAGGCTCAACATTATAATCCCATCACAATCAATATATTTAACAATAAAGCAATATTATCAAATTTTTAATAATATAATGTTAATATTCAGCAATAAAAAATACGACAGTTTACTTTAGGTGTATAGAAATTGAATTGAACTTAAAAGGGCCCCATCATTTTCAGTAGCTTAGGGCCCCGCCAAGCTTAAATCCGGCCCTGATTNAAAATAATTTTAGGCCTGCCAACTTGCTACGCTTTTTGCGCAAACTTAGTTTAGTGGTAGCTAAATTTATGTTTTAATGTATTATTTTATTTATTCATTTAAACTTACTTTCCATACCACTGCAGATAAATCATTTAAAAGTTCATATGCATTTCTACGTTGCTCTATCTCTCATCTTGGCTCTATCTCTGGAATCCTCGGCTTTTAAACGTCTACCACTCTATGCAATGTTTTGCAAAAGACATAGTATTTGGCAGGCCTATAATTCATATCAATCGAATGGGAAAAAGACCGCTAACGGCCCCAGGCGCCCAGATAGATATTGATGATGATGATGAATTCATATCAATCAAATGTTCAAAAGAAATTTATGAAAAGAGGTAACCAGATCTTTTAAAATAAACTAAGCGACCGTATGAAGTATTTACGATAAACAAAGTAAAATTACTTTTACACCAGCTTCTCCTTCCTCTTTCTTCATTTCTCCCAAAAGTGCTCGCAATAAAGACGATTTATCGCTTTCCATTTCTCCAACTACTGCAATCAAGGACTTTTTTGGAACACGCATATTGAAATTTTGGAGACAACTTTTAGTCGAGCCATACCATGAGAAGCTTGCATTTTTCAAAATTGCGACATGTTCTAAAAAAAAAGAGAAAAACTTTACAAACTAAGTAAATATTTTGAACGGTAAATAGGTAAATAAAATTATATATATAAAAATGCACCCGAATACGAAAGTCAAACGGAAAAAAAGGCTTAGAAAAATGAGAGATATTTTTTTAAAACATGTTCTGCCAAATATTTGACCGATCATTCGATCAACTGAATTTTTGACTAAAGGGCTAAATACTCGTCACATTGCTAATTTAAATGCAATATTATTCAACATGAGAAATTCACAAAGGGGAGGAAAACGTGAATTTTTAAGCTGCTCACTGTTTGTAGTTCAGTTTCAGTTTTTTTTTTTTGCTTAAGTGATCTTTTTCAATAAAAAAAAGAGAAAACGTTTACTATATAAAAAAATAATAATCAATAAAAAGAAATAATAAAGTACTCGGACATTACCAAATAAGTATTGAATTTTATTTTGAACTATAACAGTTTTGTTTTTATTTTAGGCTTTTGTTTAAGACTCAGAAGTTGTCTTCAATTAAAATATTTAATTTGAATTTATATTACTTAATTATGTACTAAATTTCTTCCATTATTCATTCTGTGAGCATTGCAGTCTTTTTTATTTGAATTTAACTTTAAAATGAATTTTTGTGTGTATTGATTTTGTGCGTGATATGATAAGAAAAAAAAATTCTTTTTTCCAATGTTTATTTATTTACTTATTTTGATAAATCTTTTTTTTTCTTGATATGATATAAATATAAATTTTTTTAAAAAACAGTGTTAGTATTTTTAGTATTAGTTAGCATCTGCATGATAGTCTCACATACCCCCTTGGGTACGTACGATCACTTCAAGTTAAAAATAACAGGTGCCGACTATTATCAGTAACTTTTATATTTGGATTGTAATTAAGCATTTAAATAATGTAAAATTCTATAAAGTACATCTTGCTCAAAATGCATATATAATACCTTTATAAAGATTGAAAATATTAGGAAAACAAGAAGTTTGTTTTATTACAAGAAAATTACCATCGGAATCTTTTAGAATCTGTAAATTTTCAAGCTCTTCACTCTCAAGAAACTTTTGAACTTTTTTAATAGATGCAAGACACTGAAAGGAGTAAAATTTTTTAATGTTTTTTAAAAAGAAAAATATGCAATGTATATAATATGCATTAAGTGCTAAAAACTATGTAAACCATCAAATATCGCGAAAGGTACGCATGGATAAAAAAAAAGGTAAGAGGAAATATTTAAAACATTATATTTCAAAAAAGGTAAAGAAAAAAATTTTCAAAAATGTGTTTAAAGATGCGATCCCCAACTTTGAAATTTTAAGGAGAAACTCCCGTTTTTTCTTTCGTTCTTCTTCTTTTTTTTTTCTTGCAGATTCGGATTTTCCAGAAAAAAGATGACTCCAATTTAATTTTCAAAATATTATAATTTTGTTCAAAGATGGCGCTGTAATCACACAATAAAAATCAGGT